GCACACATGCCAGGCGAGCACGCTACCGCTTGAGCCACATCCCCAGCCCAAGATATATTTTTTAAAAAAAGGGACTCCAAGGACTCAGTAGGTTCAACTGGTGCCCCCCTGCTGAGCTCCAGCTGCCTTCAGAGACGCTGCTGCTCCATCCCAGCAACCTCAGCAAGTGGAAGTCACTTCTGCAAGCAACAGATGCCAACCCATGGCCAGGCCAAGCCTGCATTACTACAACTAACTCCAGAGAGGAGGACAAATTTGGACATAGACCAGGAGGTGGCTGCAAGGTCCACCCCCAGTTACAGTGCAAGGACCTGCAGCTCAGCCCAAACCAGGAGCTCTAGGCTCTTGTGAGTGCAAAGGGCTGGCAGATATGGCTACCAAGAGTGGACAAACTACTGACAGTGGGTAAGGGACGGGTGTGGTGATAAGTGGCCCAGCAAGCTTGTCTCTCTGTGAACCTATAAACTCGGTTGTGATTTTTATTTTTATTTTTTTTAATTCAGAGATAATCTGCAACTTGATGTATAAAATAAAAGGAACATTTGGGGGCTGGGAGTGTAGCTCAGTGGTAGAGCACTTGCTTAGGACGAGTGACGCACTTGGTTCAATCCTTACACCACATAAACATAAATAAATAAAACAAAGGTAGTGTGATCATCTACAACTAAAAGACAAAAATTAAAAAAGAAGAAAAAGGTACATTTATAGGTAGCCTTGATTCCTATGAATAATTAACTTTTGACTTGTAAGTTAAGACTTAACTGTAAAATTTAGCACACAGCAAATGTTAACAGTATGTGGATGCACAGAAGTACAGAACCATGTAATTATTAGTTTTCCTTTTTTAAATCCACCAAATTTTTACATACTTGAGTTGTTTTATCTGCTAAATAATCCAATGACATAAACCAATATATTGGATTTACAAATGTAATGTACGTTTACAAGGAAAAACTGTAATGATGTTGTAAAATCCCCAGGAATCACTGTTGAAAGTTCCAGAATCAAAACCAAATACTGATTTAAAGAATGAGGAGGCTAGGCTTGTGGCTCAGTGGCACAGCATTTGCCCAGCATATGTGAGGCACTGGGTTCAATTCTTAGCATCACATATAAATAAAGTTCCATTAACAAGTAATAAAATATTAAAAAAAAGAACTGTAAGCTTGCTGAGCACAGTGGCACATGCCCATAATTCTAGCAGTTGGGAGTCTGAGGCAGGAGGATTGCAAGTTTGAGGACAGCCTGGACAACTGAGTAAGTTGTTATTCAAAAATAACAAAAATAAATATATATAACAGGGTTGGGGGTGTGGCTCAGTGGCAGAACACTCGTCTAAATGTGTGAGGCACTGGGTTCCATACCCAGCACCAATTTAAAAGATTAAAAAACAAAACAGGCTTGTGGTCAAACTCCTCAGCACCTCTCCAGCAGGCACAGGGGTCTCACCCTGCAGCTAGGGCTAGGCCTGGCCAGGCCCCTCCTCCACGTGCTGGAGCAGCAATGGCAGGGCTTGTGCACGGAGGTCTGAGTGCTGAGTGCTGAGGTATCTATCTCCATGCAGCCCGATTCCTTGAGCTTTCGGCTGATGCTCACAGTGGCAAGTGATCAAGTTATGACAGTGTGTCCAGGGTGGTGCACTAACAGTGTTTTGAGGACATTCTACTTGGCTGTACCCCAATCCTCCAGACTTACATCAATAGCACATGACAGAGCTGGTGGCAGTGGTACACACCTGTGGTCCCAGCTACATGGGAGGCTGAAGTGGGAGGGTCACTGGAGCCCAGGAGCCCCAGGCCAGCCTCGGCAACAAAGTGAGACTCAGTTTACTTTCAAAACACAAAAACCATAAAACAAAACCAAAACCACAGCCAGCACATACTACCCTCAGTACCACTCTCAGCAGCAAACACCTTTAGGAATCCTGAAGAGTAAATAATCAATAGGGTCAAGGCCTTCAGTGAACTGTGGGGAAATGTGGATTTAGGCCGAGTCTCTAAGGAAGGAGGGAGACAGCACAGTGCAGGTTTGAGAGCTGAGGTACAACCATGCCCAGTTCCCTGCATGGCACTGAGCTCCCACAGGCCATGACAAGGACACAGGTGACCCAGGTATCTCAGGAAGAGCAACAGGGGCTGGTGAACAAATGCAGGTATGAGTGGAGGGGCGGGGGGAGCAGCTGAGTCAGGCAAGTCAAGGCTACGGCTAGGTGACCATGACCATTAGCCAGAGGCCCACCCCAATCCTCTAGTCTGAGGACATTACAGGTCTACCAGTTCCTCAGCTCTTTCCACATCTTGAGATATATGCCCAAGAACAAGTTACCCATAATCCCTTCACCACAATTTTATAGTAGAAAAACTCTTTAAAAATCAATAGGCAAAGCCCTGGCAGGAGATCTAAACCCAAGAGATTAAACAACGGGGGACACCAGTAGATTCCTGCAGGAAGGGCCATGTGAATGCACAGCAGGAGTCCCTGGCTCTGCTGCAGGGCTAGGGTGCACAGGGAAATCAGAAGCACATCCAGGGACAAGGCAGGCAGTGGTCACTCTGCTGCAGGCTAGCCACAGCCTCCTTCCCATGTTCTTCCCGCTCTCTTTTCTGTCTTGGTGTGTTCTGTGGCCCCAGCATGTTTTCAGGAAAGTAGACATGCAGACAGCAGGAGTGGGGAGAGCCTGCAGTGCCTGCTGTCTGCTGGACTTGGTGCTCCTGCTGAGGGCAGGCAAGCTCAGCGCTTGAGGCAGGAGCTGTGGTGTCCCTCATCCCGCAGTCTGCAGCAGGCACATGGGCAGACCCACCACCCTTACCCAGCGTCACAGCCATCGCAGAGCAGGAGCCGGTCCTCACGGTCGCTTCTGCCACACACCTCACAGAAGGTCGGGTCCTCCTCTTCCTCATGGGCTCTGGTGCTCTCCACTGGAATCTGAAGAGAGAACTGCCGGTAGCAATGGTGGAGACCCAGAATCTAGGTCAGCTTGTGGGATGATGTGCAGCTAACTGAGAGTGGCTCTACCGACCTAAGATCTATCTGGGCCCACAGGCCTGAAGTCCTGAATTAACACAGTGATCTCCACGTTTTCTAAAGGCCAATAATTGTAAGGAAAAGTGGCTCAACAGAAGGAAAGCACAACACATGGGGAGGGACCTGCAGTCCAGAGTGGGCAGGCAGGACACTGCTGGAGGGAGCACCTCGAGGCTCACGTATGCTTCAGGAGACTGAACACGTGAAGAGCAGAGGGCAGCTTTAAAGCAGCATGCCTCGACAGCAGAACTGGGCAGGATGAGGCTCAGTGGCAGAGTGCACACCAAGCACACGAGGCCCTGGTTCCACCCCAGCACCACACACACAGCTCAGAAACCACTAATAAGTAAGTAGACGCAGAAACATGCCTGCCAGAACACGACACCTTGGTGCACATAGGCTGCCATGTGGTGAGAGCACACGCCCAACTCCACCCTCTGGACACCAAGGTCTTTAGACACTCAGGTATCTGTGAACATGCTTTCTCCAATGGGATGCTTGTGTCAGGATAAAGGAGTCAAGGACACCCACCAACCCTGCACCTGGCCTGCACAGCTAGAATTGGCCCCAGACCTCTCTCCAACAAGAGTCCCACATGCCACTGGCACCTCCTTTAGGTAGGAGAAATGGCCTACATAACACATGTGCGAGCTGACACTGCCAGAGACCTCAAGCCACCCTCAAAAAGGGTTACATGATGGCCTGGGATACAGAGCCAGCAAAATATAGCAGCCACTTGCAGCCCAAACCCAAGAGGCTAGTGCAGGCACAATGCCATCTGTCCCAAAGAAATGTGCATCCAAGAGAGCCAGACTTCTACATCTGTGGATTCTTGGACTTTGTTTGTAAAAGAGTAGGTGTGTAGCTGCGAACACATGCCAGGGCTATCTAGGGTTCAAAGGCTCTGGGAAATCCCCACAGGCCTTTCAACATTGCTCATCACCGAGAGAAGAATGCTCAGGGTCAGGGCACTTGCCTAGCATGCAGGAGGCCCTGGGTTCTATCTCCAGCACCACACACACCACAGAAGAGCAGATAAGCAGAGGCAAGTACAGGGGAACAGAGGCAAAGACTGCCTCCTTCCAGTCTCAACAGTAAGTAATTAGCTCAATACTCTCTGAAATCTGGCCCCTCTCCCCTCAGCAACCTCCTCTCTCCTGCAGCTGCTGAAGCCCTGTGATGAGGAGGGTGCAGAATACAGATCCAGGAACCACAACATCCCAGTCACTGCCGCACCCACAGCCTGAAGTTCAGACAGGCTTCAGCTCTGGGTTTATGCTTGTGGCTGCAAAGGGCACTTCAGTGCATTTCAGAAAAGCATATAGCCAGCACCTCCTCACTTGAGGAAAGCAAATCACCTTTTAAAAGCATGCTCCTTCCCACAAGACAGGCACACAAGTAGGAAACAGCCAACATCTACACTTACCTTCTTTAAGATTTTACCACCAAATTGAGCTCGAATACAAATACATTTAAATATTGTTCGATCAACTGGACAGGAGTTGGCATTCTGTAAGAAATAAATACTGCATCAGAATCCTGCAGAATCACCTTCACTGTCAGTACTGTCTTGGAAATTCATTTTGAAGTCAAGTTCTTTTTACACCAAAATTGTTCAACTGAACACTTCCATGTGCCAGGCCCTGTGCTGAGATGAAGGACACTGCACAGAGATTTGCCTGCCTGTGGAGCTGCCACCCAGGAGGGAGAAGAAAGCCGTGTGCCTGTCCCAGTTGAGATGCCAGTGGCAAGGACTAAGAGCGCAGGTGGGTGGGAAGGAGCAGAATGGGCGGCACTTTAGGGGCTTCCCCTGCCAGAGTCCCAAGACTGCTGCAGGCTTCCCAGAGTTTCTTTAGCATTTGTTTTCCTAGTGTGGATCCTAATCAGACACATGTTGCACCTGTTTTCTCCTTGCCTTGCCCAGTGTCTTAAGAATCCTCTACTGAGGCATCCTGTAGCAGTACAACATGCTCATTTGGGCTGTACATTTTGGTGAGTTTTGACAAATGTGTATTTCCCAGAACTACCATCCCAGGTCTGCCATCTCACCCACCCTGCATCCTGTTCCTACAGATAGTGCAGGAGAGCCTTCCCTGGTGTGTGTGTATGTTTTGGTATCAGGGATTGAATCCAGGGGCGCTTAACCACTGAGCCCCAGCCCCAGTCCTTTTTCGTGTTTTATTTAGAGACATGATCTGAGTTACTTAGCACCTTGCTTTTTTTGTGGGGAGCTGCTCTGAATGATCACACCTTCCAGTCCTGATGCACCAGGCTCTGATCAACCACTGCACTCGTTGTGGCTTGGGCAGGGACCCGCTCGGACAGCAAGGCCAGTCTTCTGAGTAGGCCTACCTCTAGGGTTGAGCTACACTCACCTGTTCCTTTGTAATTCACTCGTTTGCCCTGTTTGGGATAGAATGTTCCATGGAAACTCCCTTTGTGTGTCCCCTTCTCTTGCTCTGTCTTTGGACATGGCCTTCCTAGATGTCAGTCAACCCGCTGACAGCAGACATCACGAAGCTGGGCTTAACCCCCTGAAACCTGACCCCTTGCCTCATTTGAATGGCTTCTCCCCAATGAAAGGGTTCAGCATCTGTTCTCTCTTTCTATGACCCCTAAGGTCAGAGAAGCCATCACAGGACCTAAAGGAAAAGGTATTTCTCTGTTTCTGTGTGATTATTCTGCGCAGCCTAGTTCACCTGGAGTGACCCTGAGTGTTTTAGACATGGAACATGACAACTTTTGCTGAGGCTGGCTTTGAACTTTTGATCCTCCGGCCTCAGCCTCCTGAGCAGCTGGGATTACAGGTGTGCATCACCATGTGTGGCTATTCCTTGGGGTTTCTTACAAATGGAATCACAATGTGAGCTTCTCCCACGGGACTCTGCCCCTTTCAGTGGGCAGGGGTGGCCATAGCCACATGCTGTCTGGTCACCTGCCATGCCCATCTATCTGCATGCCAGTCTATGTGGACCTAGTCTGCACACCAGAGGCCTTATACATGACATTCCCCATGAGTCTGTGTGAACTGGGGCCAGCAAAGGGCACAGCCAGTGTTGCTGAGTGCCCTCCTCCTGACCTTCAGGCCTAACACTCTGCTAAGTGTGACAGAAATCCCTGCATTTTCTTCCAGAAGTCCCAGAGTTCTGCTTTCCAACTCTAGGACCTAGATCCACCTGGCAGTGTGGGGTGGGGTGAGCTAGCCCAACATGCCACCCACTGTCTGCCTTCTGCCTGGTGCTCCAGTATGTCAAGGCCTCTCAGAACCCTGCACTCTCTGTGCATCTGGCTTACATTCTGGACCACTTCAGTCACATCACTTCAGTTTTACAAATCCCAACATCCAGGAAGCTAGGTCTCCCTTTTCAAAGCTATCTTGGCAGCTCTTGCTTTCCCAGCCTCCTTTAGGAGCTTCACCGTCCATCACATGCCATGGGCCTCCCAGCAGGACTCGTAGAGCCTGTATCACTGTGACCACCTCTGTGAACAGACTTCCCTTCTGGAAAGTGGTCTTCTCCATTCAGTTGCAATTTTTTTAGAAAAGCTGTTTAAGTGTTTTATATATCTGGTTTCTTTCTTTTTTCCTTTCCTTTTTTGGGGAGCAGTACTGGGGACTGAACTTGTGATCCTCCTGCCTCAGCTTCTGGAGCTGCTGGGATTACAGGTGTGTGACACTCTGTCTGGCTATTTCTATGTCCAATTTTTTATCTTCATGAACCTTATGTCTAGCAATCTGGTTAAATACAGCATTTCAACAATTCATTTGTAAAATTTTACTGACAAGCTTATTCCTTGCACGTGCCTTCTCCTGATACGTAAACCTTTAATTTTTCTTATTATTTTTCAACAAGTATCAAACAGTTAATATATAGCAAATATGTCGTCTGGCACCGCAATTTAAACAAAGGCTTTGCTTGCCCAAAGAAAAACCTAACCTTGAATCTAATCTGGGTGGCACCCACCACAGAACAGGAAGTAAGAGAGACAGAGGAAGGCTCGAGCTCACAGAAGTCACCCCAGCACACGGGCCACAGGGATGGCACAACGCTGTTACTCCCTCCCTTGAATCAACCATGCAGATGTTCCTAAGCTGTGGGGACCCGGGACAGAAGAGGAGGGGCACTGGCAAGATCTTGTTGATATTGTAGCTAGCAGCTAGGGTGAGAGCATCCTGAGGGGGGGAAGTAGCCATGAGACACTGACTTACCCTGGACCACTCGACAATGCAGTCCAAGCAGAAGTAGTGGGCACAGGTCTCTGGTGTGCCCACGGCCTGGTCTCTGAACACATTGAGACAAATTGGGCAGCTCTCCACATCCTCATCAGAACTGAGAGTGCTCCTGGCTTCCAGCTTCCCCTGAGCATCTGTTGCTGCCACCAACGATTCCACTTCATCTTCAGAATCTTGGGAACCTTGAAAGAGTGGAAACATTTCAACATTAGCAAACGACAGAAACACTGGCTACAAGTGGGCCCAACCTGTACTCAGGACAGGGGACTCCACTCGGTCCTAGCTCCTGATGGGACACATAGCCCTATCCACCTGCAAGGCCACAGTCATGGGGCACCCATGACCCTGAGGAGCCTGCCCTGCAGCCACGTATACTACCATTCCTTACCTGAAGCTTCTTCAACCACAGCTGCTTCTAAACCAAGGGGACAGGGAGGCAGGCTAAGCAGCCATCCCAGGTCCTCCTACCGGAGCCCCAGGATGCAAGGTGGTCCCTAGGGACCAGCACAGGTCTCAAAGACAGATCTCACTGCGGGCCTCTGAACATGCTGCCACTACACAGCTGCATGTGTCTCCAACAGTTCTTTCTAAAAACACAATCACAACAGGACCATCTGCCTTCAGATAAGACCTCTTTCAGGGCCCCTTCTTCCTCTTCCTTTGGGATACAGAGGGCACAGATTTCTAAGTGGGCCACTGGGTTACATCAGATGAGGACTATTTCTAGAGGTCTGGTGATGGGGCCTGATCAGCACGTAAGCAGGATGCTTTCAATTGAGCCCAGCAGCCAACACACTCAACATGTCTTCTCTTCGTCCGGCACTCCACCAGAGCAGTGCCAAACACAAAGGACCCACGTTCCCGTGTACCACAAAAGCCGCTCCCACCAGCTCTAAGACTCTGCCCCTGTGGTCAGGACCAGAGGAGGTGCTCGCATGTCCTCTCCAGGGCTCTCCTGCTACCCAGAAAAAGGAGAATTATCCCCAGCTGCCCAACCTCATCAGGTGAGTGCTTTTTTTTTTTTTTTTTTAAACCTGGGAATTGAACCCAGGAATTCTACGACTGAGTTACATCACCAGTCTTTTGAGACATTCTCACTAAGTTGCCAAGGCTGGACTCATACTTATGATCCTCCTGCCTCCAAATTATTGGGATTACAGGCAAGAGCCACCACACACCTGCCAGATGAGCTATTTTGAAGTAGAATTTCTCTAGCTACTTGCAGAGACAGTAATCAGAGAAGAATGCTCCTGCTGGGCCGGAAAAACTGAACTAGCTAACACATGTGGCCAAGGCAGTGAGTGGCCCCCAGGAGCTGAGGACGGTCCCACCAAAAGCAGCCAGAAAACAGCACTTCAGTCTTTCAACCCTAGAAATACTGCCACCAGGCAGAGCTTGGAGGAGGACCTGAGCCTGAAAGGAAGTGTGGCCCGACCAATGCCTTGCAGTCAGCTGGTGGGTACCAAGACTGACCAGCAGAAACACTGTTCCTGAGTCTGTGGTGCCTTGTCACACAGCACTGGAAAACTAATAAAGGGATATGCACAACATTTTGGAAGATAATAAATGGACAGTAGATTGACAAATGCCCTCAGCTTTCCTGCTTAGTGCCCACAGCAGAAGTAGGAGATGCCTGGTGATCAGATTCCTCCTATGAATCCCAAAGGCAAGGAACTGGTGACCTTAGGGCTGCCTGAGCTCGACACAGTGCCCAGCCCACAGAGCAATGCCTTTGGGTGTTGGACAATGACCCCTAGCATGAACAAAGAGGAGAAGGTGGGCGAGGCCCTGAGCAGTCTTCCTTGCTGGGGCTACTAGAGAATACCTTGGACAAACAAAGGACCACAAGGTGTAGATGAGCACTAACCCCAGCGGGACAGCAGGTGGCTGGCCTGAGACACCAGGGCATGGAGACTCTGCCAAGTGTTCAAGGAGAACTGCATGGAGACTACTCTTGAGAGGAGACAGGGCCGCATGCCAGGCAGAGGAGGGCTGTCCTGGAGCAGAGCAGCTGTGAATGACACTGCACGATCACAACAATCATCACAAACAATAATGACCACACTGTCTGGAGAGCTGGAAAAAACAAACCCTGGGAATGAGGCAGCGGGTCCAAGTTCAGTTGTCATCTCTTACGGTAAGATTTGAGAGACACTATCTCAAGCTGGGAATGCAACAAACAATAGGAAAAGCAACTGATGTGTTTCAGGAGTCAACACCAAGGCAGGAGACCCAACAGGCAGAGTAGACACAGGCTGCCCATGGCAGGGAGCCTTGGTACACAGAAGCCCTTGAGGGACTTCCTCCTCAGCCACTGGGGCACCTCCTGCCTGTTGTTCCTCCCGCTGGCGTGGGAGGAACACGGTGGGGTGCCTGCCCACACTCAGCTGAAGTTCTGGTCTCTGCCTATCGTCCTACAGTAACAAACACTCCATCCCTGACCCAAGTCCACCCTGCCCAGCCAGCTCCTGTCCTGTAAGCTGTGGTTTAACTTTGTTTCTCGGGAAGCTTTCCTCCCCTACCAGGCCTGGAGTCTTCCCCTCCAATGCCTACCAGCTCTGGGTCAGCAGGGATCCTGGGTAAGCTTACACCTGCCTTCACTCCAGCCACAAACAAGAGTCTCTGGCACTGAAGCCTCCAGGAATGGTCAACAGGGAGTGACTTCATAGCACTCACTGTCCTCTGCCCTTAGCTCAGGCAACGCTAGCACCCATGCCAAGATCTGCTGTAGGTGGGACAAACCCAACTCAACACTAGGAAATAGGTACAAAAGCCCCATCAGTGACCTTTACACCCAGGTCAGAATCTGCAATTCTTGCTCAGAATTGGAAGTCCAATCTGAGGTAAGCACACAAAGCTGCTGGCTCACAATGCATCAATCCTACTCCACAAACAAGGGTCACTTTTCTGGAACACTCAAACACTAACAGCCATCATGAAAGACTGAGGCACACTTTTGGACTTTCCACAACAGGAAGGCAGAGGTGGGCCTGACTTCTATCTACACTGAGGCCCTCCTCTGGGGAGGGCAGCACCTGCTCAGGGCAACACAAGAAGCCACAGCACATATGCCCTTCAAGCACTGGTCCTGCAGGAGTCTGCACACCCCTCAACCACTGTATGTGGGCCATAAACCTCTTAAAATCCCTGAGACATGCTTGTCAGCTGTCAGACAGAACAGAGAATGCGCCACTGCATGGAGTCACTGCCGCACCCATGTGGAGGTCTGATGGTCCTGGGCACATCCCCTGGGGCACAATAGACTGTCCTGCGCCTGAACGGCAAGCCCATGCCCTCGTGGCGGGGGACAAGGGCTGCCAAGACCTCTATTTGTGGCACCAGCTTGCAGTCTGGTTGCGTGTGCCTGCAGTGTGTGCCCCTTGATGTTCTAGATATTTTAGTTTCACCCTAACAGAAGAGAAGCCTGGAGGACCATGTTGTTGAGCTGAACTTCCAAACAAAAGACTGCAGCAGAAATGAGCCACTGTCCGCGGGCTTCAGGAGTGGAGAGCAAAGGCTCTCCCCACAGCTTAGTGAGTACAGCTACCCAGGTTCTGCCAAATGCTGTCCCCACCCAGCCCACTCAGATGCCAGCAAGCTTACCTGATCCATCTTCTGGGTCTTCCTCCTCAGAGGCTGCCTCCTCATCCTCTCTGTCTGTGCAGTCTCCATGCTCACTGCCCGTGTCGTCCTCAGAGTCCCCACTGTGACCATCGCTGCTTTCTTCTAGACCTATGTCACCAGGGAAAATCACAGACCATGGGGGCCATGTCAAAGCAAGGCAGCATAGAGCCAAGGATGCTCTGCGCACGCACAGGAGAGTACAGGACACCTGCCACAGGGCCACTGGGACAGGTGGAGATGAGTGAAGGGAAGAGGGGAATGCCCAAAGTCTTTTTGTCCTGCATGTATTGCCTGCATTAAAACTAAGACAAAAGACTGGTGCAGGAGACTAAGGCAGGAGGATGCTTGAGCCAAAACACCAAAAATAAACAACATGACAAAAAGAATCAATGTACTACACTCCTACAATTTAAATTCAAAGAATAACTTTTTTAAAGGGTTGAAAGCTGAAAACTGACGCACACAGACAACCTCCTGGAACATCAATACCCGAAAAAACTCTAGGCACCAGAATCCACCAGGGACATCCCTCCTAGCCAGGGCTCACCAGCACTGCTGGTCAGGTCTGCAGGGCCCACTCGGGGGCATCCATCCGGACACGGGCTCTGTGCCACAGGCTGGTCCAGGCTGTCGTCATCCATTGTTGCACATTGGAGCTCAACTCTGAAAGAAAGAGGAGCCAGGGGATCTCCAAAGTGTCAGAGCTGCAGAGCCCCAGAAAGAACAACAGTCACTCTCTCCTGTCATGTTCCTGGTGCTGGAACCTTTCCGTGCATGTTGTGTTTGAGGCATGAGACCACACATGCAGCAACTCAACCATACTGAAAGATACTACAGAGCCAGGTGGTAGCCACACCTGTATCCCAGAGACTAGGGAGGCTGAAGCAGGAGTATCACAAGTTTGAGGCCAATCTCAGCAACTTAGCAATACTCTGTCTCAAAAAAGGATGGGGATGTAGCTCAGTGGTAGAGTGTCCTTGTATTCAATACCTAATACCAAAAAAGGAAAAAAAAAAAAAAAAGACACTGGCTCCTACAGAGCCATATGCAAAGCCAGGTCCAAACACTTGAGGATTTGCCACATGTTGGTACAAGCACCTCAAGGTGTCCCAAGGCCAAAAATGAACAAAATGGATATTTCCTGGGCTGAGGCATAGTGGTACTTGTCAACTGAGGGCTGGTCACCAGGAAGCTGTCTGCCTTCCACGCCGTGGGCACGTCACTCTTGGCCAAGGCTGGGCCAGCAGTCTCTATTTAGCTGACCACTATCAGGAGGCAGCAAGACTCAGCAGAGGCACCTGGGGCCTTGATCACAAGTCAGTCCGTGGAGTCCTGGTAGTGCCCAGGCTGGGAGGCAAAGCAGACCAAGATCACACTGCTAGGCCCAGTCTTCAAACATGGCTCAACATAACCCTCCTTGTACCCGAGGGCCTCAAACTTTGATCCCCACAGAAGTCCAAAGAAGAGCCCTTTCTTGTCAGCGCTGCTCCCTTCAATTTCTAGGTGGCCTTGGAGGAGAATGTGGAGTTCACTCAGGAATCACTCAGGAACCCAACAGAACACAATGAAGTCCACTGCAGCACCACAGGCTTCCCATGAGACCCCCACCTCGGAGGCAGGAGAATGGGGATGGGCTTGACTCTGCAGTCAGACTTACTTCCCTCCCTAGGCTGCAGAGACTCCGTGTCCACTGCAGTGGCTGGGAGTGGGCTACAACCTCTAGAGTCACCTTCTCACCAGTCCCCTATCACCTCCCCACATGATGGGCACTACAGAGCTCCAAGTCCTCCAACGCCTGCTAATCAGCGAGGGAATGCTCCTTTGAGGAAAGCGCCAATGGACAAATGTCACTACTATCAAAAAATGGCGAACCAAGACGTGGTTTTGCCAAATTAACTTTTCCTCTCCCTGCTGCCCCAAAGTCAAGATAATTGGCCAAATCCCCACTCAGAGAAGCGTCTGCACCCTGCTGCTGGTGAGTTCAGAAATCTGGCAGGGAGTGCTGGCCAGATTCCTGCTGGAAAACTGACCCTGAAGGAGGCACAGGCAGGCAGGCAGATGAGACCATGCTATAGCCCATCCAAGATGATGACAACTCTCCCGCACTGAGACCCAGCATTGACCACGGATCTCAGGTAAAAGGATCTGTAAAGCTCTGGCCATGGCTGTGACCCTTCCCATAAAACCCAGGCCTCCTGCTCCACTGCCTGCCCTGCCCTGACTGCACGCAGGTAAGGAAGGTGGAGAAGCATACACCAGCCCAACCAGGGTATACTTCAGGGAGACCAAGAAATGTGAGCCCAATACGACCTAGGTAACAGCAGGGCAGAGCTGGGAGCAGTTCTAGGGCCTAACTGGTGGACAGCAAATCCCTCACTTAAATGATGTATTACACACAAGGTCAAACATATGAACACAGAACTCCTGTCTTCTCTCCTGATGGACTGTGACCAAGAGCCACAAGAAGGGACAATGGCAGGACCTGTCTCAGAGGGCTGCCTGGAGAAATCAGTGAGGCAGCAGCAGAGCTAGCACATAGGAGTTTGCCAGAATACCAGCTTGGGAAAGAGGCTGAACTCCAGGAATGCATGCACCTGGGGGCTATGTTCTGAGGGGTCTGTAGCCTCCACTCAGCCTGAGGCCCACAGCCAAAGAACACTATGGCCCACTACCACGGCGTTGGAGGCTCAGGTTGAGAAAGCTGAGCAAAATTCTTTCTGGATGTCACAAAACCCAAGTGGAGGCAACAACTGGGGCCTGCACGCAGGAGAACAAAAGAAGCCAGCAGCCTCCAAAGATACCTCCGGAGCAAGGAGCAAGGACAAAAACCACAATCCGGGGCCACCAGTCTTCCCTTCCCCACCAGAAAGCCCAGCCAGAACACGGTGCTAGGGTACCTCTAGCTTAGTTCTTTCTAGTCCCCCAGCAGCTCCAGCTTGGGCAGGCCCACAGGGGTTCTCATCCCCACTGCTAACCATCAGAGACCAAGGCCTAAACCATTCCTGCAGAAAAGCCCATAGTCCTTCCTGGTTGTCCTTGGCAGAACTGGCAGAACACTCTCAGAGAGATGCTGTGACACTCCTGCTCAGCCTCCAGGTTTCTGGGAGGTCAAGAGAAAAACAAGAAAACTGAAAAGGCTATTTCCCCCTTCAAACTCGGAGGAACCACTGAACTTGCAATTCCAACTGTTATTGAGGAACCAAAAGGGCTACACTGGTGCCAAGACCAGAGCCTGGGTGCCCATTCTGGGCACTGTGCAAGCCTGCAGCAAGTCTAACTTCTTCACTCAGGCTTTGTCCTTCCCCATCCACCTCCTACCATAGGAGACAGGAAACCTCAAACTGTAAACTGTCATGAAACTCAACAACTTGGAGACTGTAAAGTCTCCAATGAGTTGAAATGGACCCCGTGGTACAGCGCAAAAAGGTGCCACGTGCTGTTACTTTGACTCAGTCTTCTTCCTCTAATAAAGAAAACCAAGTGGTCCCTGAGAGAGGGAAAGTATGTCAAGTCCCAAGCCAAACCCACCTCAGCCTCAAACCCTATCCATGCCACCAGTGGTCAACATGCCTCCCCAGCAAATTACTGTTGTCTACTGCAGAAACAAGGGCACACAAGCTCGGCAAAAGCTTCTGAAAAGAGCAGGACAGTTGAGTGAAAGGATGAGGGAGCAGCTCTGGCTCTGCCTCTCTGCCTGTGTGAAGCTGGCAAGTTACTCAGCCTCTCTGGGCTCGGAGCTACTCCTCGGTAAAACACGGACGACCGCCCTCCCGAGAGGCTGCCTGGGGACGGCTGAG